TGGTGCCCCCAGTGCTGGGCGTCCCCTTGCACCACATGCCCCGTCGCACTGGGTGCCCCCCGGGACTGGCCACCCCCTGGAACACGGTGCCCCCCCAGCACCCTTAACACCCCCTCTCCTTCTCCCACAGGCTGCTGAGCACCATGGCCGCGAGCCCCCGCTGACATCACCCCACACACGCCTCGGGGTGCTCCCAGCGCCGCCCCCCCAACACCTCGGGGTGCTCCCAGCGCCGCCCCCATGGGTGACTCCTACGCCGCCGCCTTCCCCAGCGCCCCGGGGCTGCTCTCGCCCTCCGCCAGCCCCCAGGCCTCCCCCGGCCCCTACGGCCCCGACTACGGCCCCTTCGGCCACCCCTTCCCGGCCCCCTCCGGCGCCCAGGAGGTGCTGGGGGCCCCCGTGGTGGTGACGGCCAAGGGACACCCCCCTGGCGACTGCCTGCCGGGGGTCTACCCCTCGCTGGAGATGCCGCATCCCTACGGCTCCTGGTACAAGGGCGGCATCGGCGGGGGGCTGCCGGGGGGCTCGGGGCCGGCAGCCCCTTCCTGGTGGGACGTGCACCCCAACGGGGGCTGGCTGGGGGGGCCCGCGGGCGCCGAGGGGCTGCAGGGCTCGCTGCAGGGCCAGCCCACCCTCAGCCCCCCGCTGCCCACCTACGGCTCCGACTTCGGGGCTCTGAACCCCCCGCCTTACAGCAACCCCCGCCGCCGCTCCCCCAGCCCCCAAACCCAACCCGGGCGAGGCGCCCAAGGGTCCCCGCGGCGGCTCCTTAGGGGGCCGCCCGGCGTGCGATTGTCCCAACTGCCAGGAGCTGGAGCGGCTGGGGGGGCCGGGGGGAGCCCGCAGGAAGCCGGTGCACAGCTGCCACATCCCGGGCTGCGGCAAGGTGTACGGCAAAGCCTCGCACCTGAAGGCTCACCTGCGCTGGCACACGGGCGAGAGGCCCTTCGTCTGCAACTGGCTCTTCTGCGGCAAGCGCTTCACCCGCTCCGACGAGCTGGAGCGCCACGTCCGGACCCACACGCGGGAGAAGAAGTTCACCTGCCTGCTCTGCAGCAAACGCTTCACCCGCAGCGACCACCTCAGCAAGCACCAGAAGACCCACGCGGACCCCGGCCCCCCCAAGCAGCCCCCCGGCGCCGAGCAGCCCCCGCCCCGGCCGCGTCCCCCGCCAGCCGCCCGCCTCGCCCGGGAAAGACGCCGGGAGTCCCGAAGCCGGGAGTTTGTTGGAGATTTGAGCCTTTCAGCCTCCATCCATCCTCATCCACCTCTTCCTCCTCCACGCCGCTGGGGATATTTATTACGGGTGCTGCCCACCCCCTCCCCAACTTCTCCCCAAATCACCCCCTCCCACCCCCCCAATTCCTCCCAGCTCCTCGTTAGCCATTCTAATTTATGTCTTAAATTATGGGGGCTCTGCGAGCGTCTGGGGCTCACTGGGAGGAGGGGGGTGTCAAAGTGAGACCTCTCCTTCTTTCTCTTCCTCTTCCCCTCCCAAACCTTCTCGCCCCCATCCCCCCCGAAGCTCCCACCGGCCGCCTCGTGCCCCGCACTCAGGGACAGGGTTTGCCCCTCCCCAGCCTCATTAGCACACCCGGTTTGTCGGTGCTAATGTAACGTGGCCCCCCCTCTTTTTTAGCTGGCTGCTCCCCCACCCCCCTCAAAAAACAGCAATAAAGGGATTGAGAGTGGAGCTAGGCCCTCACCCCCTTCTGTGGCTGCGGGGCTGAGGCCGGGCGGCTTCATCACAGGGATGGGCTCAGCTCCTTCCCGCACTCCGTTGAGGTTCACAGGGAAACTGAGGCACGGGGGAGAGGGACATGGCCCTGCTCGGGGTCACCGTGTCCCCCTCTCTCCTGGGGGTGACAGGAGTGGGGTTGGGGACAAGCTGGTCTGTCCCTCCATCCCTGTGGTCCCCTGTCCTTGTGTCCCTGAGTTTTCATGGCCTTGGGTCTCCATGGTCCCATTCCCATCTCTCTCCCCATTCCAGGACCCCAGTCCCAGTGTCCTGTGGTCCCCACGGCCCCGTGTCCCCCTGTCCCTATGGCTGCGTGTCCCCAGGACCCACCTCCCTCTGTCCCCATGTCCCCCAGTCTGTCCCCATCCTCAGGGACATCCCCAAGCTCCTTTTGGGGACCTGTTGGGGCTTCTCCACCCACCGCCTGGCTCAGCCTCGTGCCTCAGTTTCCCCATGGCCACAGGGGCCACGTGGCATCGCTGGGGCACGTGGCAGGGCCACGTGCTACCAAAGACACCCCAATTTTGGGCGCTGTGGGCTGGCGGGGACCCCACTCCTCCCCCTCCCCGTGCCCTGGGCCCCCGCCAGCCCTTTGATGCGCCCAGCCCTGGTTTGGGGCTTTTCCTGAAAAATAAAAAAGAAAAAAAAAATCCCCCAAAGCCACGGAAAAAAAGGCAAAAAGGAGGTGGAAACGGGCTCTTGTGCCAGCACAAAGTGTGTGTGTGGGGGGAAGCCACTGGCACCCACTGCCCCCGGGGGGGACACGCGGGGACAGGGACGGCAGCAGGTCCCTGTGCCAGCGTGGCCGGGCCACGGCCACGTGTGCCAGCCACGGGTGAGTCACGGTGGCCACGGCTCGGCAGAGCTGGCCAGGCCCCGGGTGTCCCCAGGGAAAGGGGGACACGCTGTCCCCCCCCACGCAGGATGGGGAAACTGAGGCACGGCAGCATCAGCGGGGTGGGCAGAGCCCGGTGCCACCGCACACAGCTGTCCCCCAGGGTGGCTCCTTAGGGGATTTGGGGTGGCAGGGACCACCTCTCCTTACAGTCCCCCAAGTCAGCCCCCCACCGACACAGGCTTGCTCTTCTCGGGGTTCCCCCCCCCCCCCAAAAAAAAAAACCCCACACCACCCCCGCTGCCTCTCGCCGTGGGTGGGCCGGTGCCAGCGAGGGCAACCAGCCACCTCCCCGTGCCAAACCCCGGCCCGGCGGCCACCGAGGGCTCGACCGCCCGGAGCCTCCCAAACCACAGAGCCCAACCCCATCCAACGACCCCTACACTCCCCAAAAAAACAAACAAACCCACCTGGGACACCCCGGCCCCGCTTCGGCGGCACCACCAGCTTTTTTTTTTTCCTGTCTCGCTGCCCCATCAGGGTGGATTTGGGGGGGTCCGAGGGACGCCGCGGGGCCACGCCAGCCCCTGCGGTGGCTCTGATGTCGGCGCCATCCAAATCGTCGTCTCCTATCGAACCCCGCTCGCTCCGTAACGGGTGAGGAATGTGGGGCCTCGCCGCAGCCCCCCTCCCCCAACCCCAAAACCCAACCCCGTGCCTTTATTTAATATCCTGAGAAAATTAAAATAACTCTTGCGGCCGCTAAGGAAAACACGGAGATAAACAGAATAAAGCGGGAGCCCCCACACGGGAGAGGGGCTGGGAGGAGGGGGACCAAGGCCGGCGGCACGGGGAGCTCGGCACCCACGGGAGGGGCACACGGGCACCCACGGGAGGTGGGTGGGGTGGTGGTGGGGCATGGACACCCACGGCACGCCGGGGAGGGGTTGCAGGACATGAAGACCCCCGAAGGGGGGTGCGGGGCACAGGGACCCCGAGGAGGGTGCAGGGCACGGGGGTGCGCGGGGAGGGGTCGCAGGAGCCGGGGTTGCCCGGGCGTGCAGGACAGGGGGGTACTCAGGGGGTGCAGGACACGAAGACCCCCGCAAGGCGCGGGGGTGCGCGGGGGTCCCGTGGGAGGGGGTGTGTGCAGGACACGGAGACCTCGAGACAGGGGGTTCAGGACTAGGGGTGCTCAAGGGTCCCCCGAAGGGCAGGGGGTTCAGGACGGGGGGTACCCCGGGGGTCCCGTGTGTGTGGGGTGTGTGTGCAGGACACGGAGACCCCCGAAGGACAAGGGGGTTCAGGACCGGGGGTCCGTCCCGTGTGTGTGGGGTGTGTGTGCAGGACACGGAGATCCCCGAAGGACAGGGGGTTCAGGACCGGGGGGTGTGTGTGTGTGTGTTCAGGACATAGAGACCCCCAAAGGGACAGGGGGGTTCAGGACCGGGGGGTACCCCCGGGGTCCCGTAGGAGGGTGTGTGTTCAGGACACAGAGACCCCCAAAGGGACAGGGGATGTTCAGGACCGGGGGGTCTCCCGGTGTGTGTGGGGTGTGTGCAGGACATAGAGACCCCCAAAGGGACAGGGGATGTTCAGGACCGGGGGGTCTCCTGGGGTGTGTTCAGGACATAGAGACCCCCAAACACAGGGGGGTTCAGGACCGGGGTGTGTGTGTGTGTGTGTTCAGGACATAGAGACCCCCAAAGGCACAGGGGATGTTCAGGACCGGGGGGTACCCCGGGGTGTGTGTGTGTGTGTGTTCAGGACATAGAGACCCCCGAGCACAGGGGATGTTCAGGACCGGGGGGTCTCTCGGGTGTGTGTGTGTGTGTGTGTTCAGGACATAAAGACCCCCAAAGGGACAGGGGGGTCAGGGCCGGGGGGATCTCCCGGGGGGGGGGTCCCGGTCCCGGTGCCCCCCCAAGCCCCGCTCGGGCCCCACGTGACCCTCGGGCCGCGCGCGCCGCTGCCCCGCCCCGGGAGAGGGGGCTCCGCCTCCCTTAAAGGGGCAACGACTGTAAAGGTGGACCCATATTTTATCAGCCCACGCTACGGCCGAAGAGCCCCTAATTCACCGGAGAGGGGTGGGGTGGGGGTGTCTCTGCAGGGGATACCACGAATCTCTCCGCCAACGAGGAGGTGAATCGGGGATGGGGGCGCCCACCCCGCCGTGCCGCTTGTGCGCTTTTCCATCCCGGGCCCGATGCCCCTTTAATTCCCCCCCCCACACACACCCCTGGGACCTGAGGGCGGGAACCGGGAAAAGGGTGAGGGGGAACAAACATGGCGGGCCCGGGGGGCGGTGAGGGAGCCTGAGGGGTACGGGGGGCTGTGAGGGGGAGAGGGGGAACACGAGGGACCCCGGGGGATGTGAGTGGGGAGCGCCGTGCCTCTGGGTGGGTGAGTGGGTGAGGGGCTGCGGGGCTGGAGCCGGCGCGTTCCAGGGGCTGCAGCTCTCACACACCCCTCCTCTAACCCCCTCCTCCATCTCCCAGGCCCACCATGTGCACGCTGGGGCTGTTCCCGCCGCCGCCCCCGCCCGGGGATGTCACCCTGTACGAGCTCAACAACGCCCTGGTCTGCGGCCGCCTCAGCGAGCAGCTCCCGCTGTCCTTCCAGAGCCAGGTGAGACCCCCAGAGTGCCCCTCTCCTCCTCCCCAGAGCCAGCTGAGACCCCCAGAATGCCCTCTCCTCCTCCCCAGAGCCAGCTGAGACCCCCAGAGTGCCCCCCTCCTCCTCCCCAGAGCCAGCTGAGACCCCCAGAGTGCCCCTCTCCTCCTCCCCAGAGCCAACTGAGACCCCAGAATGCCCCTCTCCTCCTCCCCAGAGCCACCTGAGACCCCCAGAGTGCCCCTCTCCTCCTCCCCAGAGCCAGCTGAGCCCCCCCAGAGCCAGCTGAGCCCCCCTGCCTCCCAGAGCTGTGCCAGCCCCCCTCCAGCCTTTGTGGGGGTGACACATTTGTCCCCCTCAGCTGTGGCTGGAGCTCCGGCCCCTTGTGCTGGGGGGTGTCTCCTTGCCCCCCCAGGATGTCCCTGGTGGTCTCAGGGGTGCTGTGAGCTCACGGGTGCTGCGGGGGCCCCGCAGGTGCCCGACCTGCCCGTGCTCAGCCTGCCCAAGGAGCCCCTCAAGGCCCACGGGCGGCAGGAGCCCAGCGCCCGCCCGCCCTTCATCCACCACCGCGAGTCCCCCTGGAAGCGCTGCCTCAGTGCCTGGTGAGTCCGTGCCCCCGCACCCCCTGCCAAAAGTGCCCCCAGAGTGCCAGCTATGCCCCTCTGAGGGGGTGCTGAAGGGGCTGATCTCGCTGTGGCCGCAGGCGCGACGCGGGGCTCTGCGGGGTGCTCAGGGAGTTGGCCAGCGCCGAGGAGGAGGGTGAGTCGTGGCTGCTCCTGGAGATCTCCCCGGGGATCTCTGGCTCTCAGATCCCTCTGTTGCCATCGTGCTGCCCCTGCCCATGCCTCCTGTGGTGCAGGTGGGGGCAGCTGAGGGTGTTTTCCCCCCTCCCTCCAGGGCTGCGATGGCTGAGGACGGGCTCGAGCCACGCGCTGGCCGTGTGCCGCTGGCTCTCCTCGCTCCACGGATCCCTGTTCCCACACCTCTCCGTGAGTCCTTCCAGGCCCCATCCCTGGGGCTGGGGGAGGCTGGGTGGGCTGGTGGGTGGTCCCTTCCCTGCTGGAAACCCACCAAAATGCTCCTCCCGGCAACGCCCGGCTCCAAACGCTGCTCCTTCCTCCACCCAAGGGAGGGGAATGCTGCCCTAACGCCTTACCAGGGCCCAGAGCGCTCCAAGAGGGGCCAAAATCCGAGTGAGGGAAGAGGAAAGAGAGGGGTGGGCACTGGGGGTCCTCGCTGCCAGCTCATTGTTCTGCTCTCCCCTGCAGCTGACCAGTGAGGACATGATTGCAGCCTTCTCCCAGGCCGTGGACTGGTGAGTCCTGTGTGTCCCAAAGCCGCCTTCCCTGGGGTCTGTGACCTCCTTGGAGCTGGGAGAGGGGTGGGGTACAAGGACAGAATTGCCCTCGTTTGGGTGGGCACGTTAAGGGCAAATATTTCCCGTTGGCTCTGACTGCCCTGGTTTGTGTCTGCTGGTCAGAGAGAGGCAAAGCCCCTGATGTGCTGAAATTGGGGTTACATGAGATCAGAGACTGCAAAATCCCTCCCCAATCCACCCTAGACCGTGGGAACCAGCCCCTCGGCAGAGCCCTGGGAACAACTGCCAGGAATGGGGGGAGGTTTCTCAAAGAAAACGTTCCCATCCAGCAGTGAAAAGGGAGTTTTTATTTCACTGGGGACTCTGGGAAGGGCCTTTGCCAGCCCTGGGGGTGGGTGCTGGGGTGGTGCCAGCACCTCTGCTTGGAGCCTGACCCTGCCCTGTGCCTCCCTGCAGGGCCGGGTGCCCCGTGCGGGCCTTCGCCTGGCACCCCCACACCAACAAGTTTGCTGTGGCGCTCCTGGACGATTCCATCCGGGTCTACAACTCCAGCAGGTGGGGCTGGAGCTGCCGCTGCCTACTCCCGGGATTGGGGGTGCCCTGGTCCTGCTGCCACAAGCCAAGTGCCCTCAGCCTTCCTACCCACCTGGGCTTAGCCCTCCCCTTGCTCCTTTCCCACTGCTCTTCCTGGATCCCCACTGAAGCCTTGGCTTTCCTTTCCCTCCCTGCTCCGTAGCTCTGGGGGCATCCTGGGGATTCCCACAGCCCAGTGATGGGGAGGGGAGGGTCCCACAGCCCAAGGGGGCACAGGCAGAGCAGTGTGTGGAGCGTCGTTGAGTCTCCTCTCTCCCCCAGGTCTCCCTGCTCCCCCAGGGAATGCCAATCCCTCCTCAGGAGAAGACTGTGCCGGCTGGTCCTGCGGCCCCCTCCGCGCTGCCCTGCTCCAACCCCCTCTCCCAGCTGGGATTTCTGGCCAGCCCGGGCCCTCTCCTGCCCCGGGGCTGGGCTGGGGGCAGCTCAGGCCAATTGCACCAGGTGTGCTCTGGCTCACTCCGGTGTCACCTGGCTGGGAATTCCTGTCCCCTCTCACACTCCCCACCCCGGGAAGCAGGGCACAGCAGGGCACAGATCCCCCTTTCCCGCTCTGCTTTCCCCCTGCACTGTGCTCAGAGCTGGCAGAGGACGCTGGGACACGGCCCACGCTCTTGGTGCCCCGTTTTTGCCCTTGTCACATGTGTCCCCTTCCCCGGCAGTGCCACCGTGCCCTCGCTGAAGCATCGCCTGCAGAGGAACGTGGCCTCCATGGCCTGGAAGCCCCTCTGTGCCTCCATCCTGGCCGTGGCCTGCCAGAGCTGTGTCCTGGTGTGGCACCTGGACCCCACCTCCCTCTCCACCAGGTGACAACCCCCTGCCCTGCCATCAGGACCCCCCCTTTGGGGTTGGCTTTGGGATAAAGCCAGGCGGGTGCCAGTCCTGCCGGCCTGTCCCAACCCTTCCTGGGGGTTTTCTCTCTCCCTTCCAGACCGTCATCAGGCTGTGCCCAGGTTCTGTCCTACCCGGGGCACAGCCCTGTCACCAGCCTGGCCTGGGCACCCAGCGGGGAGCGGCTGCTCTCGGCGTCACCGGTCGACACGGCCATGCTGGTGAGGAGCCCTGAGCTGGCTGTGCCTGCTGGGGGGATGTGGGGACCACGGGCACCCCCAGAGGGTCACCCAGGGATCCAGCTGGGCTGGGCACGGGTGCTGTTCCCACAGAGGGTGGGTCAGGCAGCTCTGAATTAGAACTGGGCCCGAAAGAATCATTCTGTGTCGCCCCAATCCAAACAACTTCCCCCCCAGCGCTCATCCAGCGCCACCATTTGCCTTCCCTGTCCCCTCCTCCAGGTGTGGGACGTGCCCACTGAGAACTGTGTCCAGCTGCAGTGGTTTGGGGGCGGCGGTGTCACCTACTTGGCGTGGTCACCCGATGGCAGCAAGGTGCTGGCAGCCACCCCCTCGGCCGTGTTCCGGTGAGCTCTGTCCCTGCCCAGCTCCCCTCGCAGCCCTCGCCCTCCTTTCTGCCCCAAAACTGAGCAGATCTGGATCCTGAGTGCCCTGCTCTGTCTCCTGCAGGGTGTGGGAGGCTCAGATGTGGACATGTGAGCGGTGGCCCACTATCAGAGGACGCTGCCAGGTGGGATGGGTTCCTCAGCCAAGGAGTCATTTAGGCTGGAAAAGCCCTCTGAGACCGTTGAGTCTCACGTCCCCAAGTGTCACATCCACAGGGCTTCTAAATCTCTCCAGGGCTGGGGGACTCCCACCCTGCCCTGGGCAGCTGTGGCAGGGCTGGACAGCCCTGGAAATTTTCCCCATATCCAACCTGAACCTCCCCTGGTGCATCTTGAGGCTGTTTCCTCTTGTCTCATCCCCTGTTCCCTGGGAGCAGAGCCTGATCCCTCCCTGGCTCCACAGGAGTTGTGGAGAGCGAGAAGGTCCTCCCTGAGCACCCTTCTCTCCAGGCTGAGCCTCCCCAGCTGCTCCTCACAAGTTCTCCAGCCCCTTCCCCAGCTCCACTCCCACTTCTGGACACACCCCAGCCCCTCAGTGTCTTGTAGCCCCAAACTGACCCCAGGATTTGGGGTGCAAACATCACCTCCAAGGCCCTCGGGGACACGCTGGGGTGGGTTTTACCCAAAAATCCCCCGTTCCCAGCTGGCTCCAAAAGATCCCTGGCCAGGGGAGGGGTCTGAGCTGTGCCTGGACCCACTGGAGTCTCCCTGCAAACCTTCCCTGTGCCACAGACGGGGTGCTGGAGCCCAGACGGCAGCCGGCTGCTCTTCACGGTGCTGGGGGAGTCCGTCATCTACTCCTTGTCCTTCTCCGAGTACCGGGGTGAGTCCGCCCGGGCTGGAGCTTCCCAAGGGCTGGGGTGGGGCCCTCACTTCTGGCTGAGGGAGCTGGGATGTGCAGGGGGGTGTCTTTGATGTCTCCCAGAGCACGGAATCCCCAGGGTTGTGGGTTTATCCCCCCTCCTGTTGCCTCTCAGTCGTGTGGGGATTTGCAGGGGGTGTCCTGGGTGGGGTTGGTGTCCCCTGCCCTCCATCCCAGACATGGGGATGCCAGCAGCACGTTGCTCTGAGAAATGGGTAAATGATGGGAAATCCAGGGAATTCAGTGGGATTTACGGAGTGTTCCCTTCAGGGGACATGCAGGGGCAGGTGGGGGGCTCCAAAACAGCCTCCATCGTGGCAGACCTGTCCGAGACCACCTTCGAGACGATCTACGGGGACGAGAGGTGGGTCTAACGTGGCACCTGGGGTTGGGGGCACAGGGGGACCCTGCTTCCCTTGGATGCTGGACACACCCTGGGGGGGGTGCTGAGGGGATCTGTGCCCCTCTGATCCTGGGGGCTTCCCTGCTGCTCGTGCCACTTCCAGGATTGGAGGAGAGGTCCATTCCATGGTGTGGGACCCCACGGGAGAGAGGCTCGCAGTGATCATCAGAGGTGAGTCCCGCCTGAAAATCCCACTTCCAGCAAGGAAAAGGGGGAGGGAGCACCGAGGGGCCTGTCCCTGTGTCCCTGGAGCAGGGAAAGCCTCCCTGCCCCTCTCCCTCCCGCAGGACACCCCGACTCTGCGGGCAGCCAGACGGAGAACATCGCCGTGTTCCGCACCCGCAACAGCCCCGTGTTCGAGCTCCTGCCCTGGTGAGTCGTGGGTGGGTTCCTGGCAGCAGGTTTGGGGTGGGTTTGGGTTTGTTGAGCACCATTAACCCCCCCCAGGTGGGTGTGGTGGGGAAGAGCTGCCCCTATCATCGTGGGGAGACCCCATCCCGCACTGCTTCGGGGCCTCTCGCCGTTTCACCTCCAAATCCATCGTGTTTTGTCTTTTACCCACCTCAAACCCCTTGGCTTCGGGCTGTCCTTGCCCAGTGCACCTGATCAGGTCCCGAATCTCTCCACTGGCCCCTGGCAGCGTGGTGTTTCTGTGGCTGTGCCATAACTGTGGTTCTTCCTGCCCCCCACAGCGGGTTCGTGCAGGGCGAGCACGGTGCCCGGCCCCAGATCATCGCCTTCCACCCCTGCTTCCCACGAGGAGCCCTCCTGACCGTGGTGAGTCTGCTCCCCTCCTGTGGTGCTGTGTGGGCTGAGACAGCGTGGGAGGATGTCAGGGATCTTGGACCCTCATCCCCTGTCCGTGTGTGCTCTTCCCTTCCAGTGCTGGTCCTCGGGGAAGATCAGCCACATCCCCTTCTTCTTCGTCAGCGCCCGCGTGCCCCTCGCCAGCCCCCACCGCAGCCCCGTCCCCGTCGTGGCCAGTGTGAGGGAGCAGCCCCTCTTCTCGGAGCTGTGACCACAGCCCAGAGGGCCTGGGTGGCTCCTCTTCCTCCCTGGGCAGCCTCATCTTCCTCTCGGGTGCCTTCAACCCCTGGGGGGGGCAGAGGGGGTCTCCCAGAGTCTGCATCGAATAAAGGTGGTTCTTTTCCCCCCTCTCCTCCTCTTTCCTCGCCCTGAGGGGGCTGGAAGGTGTTCACGGGGTGAGTTCTGGAAGTTCCGTGGGTCTGGGGGTGCTCCAGAGCTGCTTTTTGGGGTCAAGAGAGAGCTCAGGGTCAACTTGCAGAACTTGCCTGTGCTGAAGCCCGTTGGGCTGAGCCCACAGGGCTAGGGCTGCTGTTTTGGGGTTAAAGAGCTGCGTTTTGGGGAAAGGTGAGGGCAAGGGGGGCTCAGGGGTCCTTGCCTGCACACACAGCCCCTCAGGCCTCACCTTGTGGGTGGGCAGAGCCCTCCAAAGTGATCTGAAACCCCTGTGGGTTCCATAAAACCCCAAACCTGAGCCCAGTGGGGTCGTGAGCAGGGCTGGAGGGGCATGGGGTGCTCGTGCCAGCCCACGTGAGCCCCCCCACCCCAGCACCAAAGGATGGGGGGGGGAGCAGATGGACCCCCCCCTGCCCAGAGAAGGGATTAATGGGAGAGGAGGCAGCGTGGGTAAATCCCAGGATTACATATGGTTAATCCTCAGGATTACACTGCAATAAGAGGGATAACAGGGAGAGTGCAGGGTCCGTGCCCACCCTCCCACCCCCTCCAGGACCCCCAAAATGCTCCTCAAAATCCCGAGGTGGGACAGGGAGCCCCCACCCACACCCAGCCCCTCCGTGGGGAGGGGGATCCAGGGGGGGAAAAACCCGGGGGGGGAAATGAACCCACCACAACCGCTGGGGCAGCACCAGGGGGGCTTCACCCCTCGGCTCTGCCCGCTTTGCTGCTGGTGCTGCCTCCCAGGAAGGTGCTGAGCGGCTCCTCCTCCTCCTCCTCCTCCTCCCGGTGCCCGGGGGGGCCTCCTCGGGCCAGGGCCCGCAGGTATTCCAGGTGCAGCCGCGTCTCCGCCCGGCTCCTCCGCACGAACCGGCCCACGTAGAGCAGGAGCCCCCCCAGCCACCCCCCCACGGCCACCAGCACCGCCACGTCGGGCCCCGCCGCGCCCCCGGCCCCGCTCAGCGTCTCGTTGTGGGGGGGCCCCCCCGGGCACCGGCAGCCCCCCGGGAGCCCCAGTGCCAGCAGGAGCAGCCAGACCGCCGGCATCGCCCTGGGGAGGAGGGCGGGGTGGCACGGGTGGATGGGTGGCATGGGAAGGGGGGCTCTGTGCCACCCCACAGCGCTGCTGACACGTGGGATGGGGGCGGGCACTGGTTCCTATGGTTGTACCCACCTCACAGCAACCCCCAGCCCTGCCCACCCCCTCCCCACCACGGGACCCCCAACAGGGCATCTGCTGGGCACACACACTGGTTTTTACTGAGTGCTTGAAAAACCCTCGGAACAGGGTGTGTGGGGGTGTTACACAGGAATGGGGGCAAACTCCAGAGAAATGGAGCCCTCAGCAAGTCTCTGACTGGGCTGGTGCCCCTCCAGCGCTGGGAGAAGGTGGGTGGGCACACTGCCACCCCAGGGGGGGCTGCCCCCCACCCCAGCAGGTCCCTCGGGGCATCTCGCTGCGATCCCGTTCCAGGACCAGTCCTTGCCATCCCTGGATCCCCCCGTGCTGGGCCTGGGGGGTCTCTTTTTGGGGTGACCTCGATGGGAGGGGTGGTGGGGGGGGGGTTCACCCGCTCTGTGTGCCCCCCTCGTGCCGCAGTGCCCGCCGTGCCATCTCCAGGGCCCCCTCCCGGCTCCGGTTGCCGCCGATGAAGCCGCTGGCGTGGACGAAGACGCAGCCGGGGATGCCGGAGAGCTGGGACAGGGCCTCGTCCCGCAGCCCCCGCCACGCCTCGGGCAGGGGGAGCCTGGGGGCACACGGGGGACAGCGGGTGACAACCTGGCAGGGGGCACGGGGGGCAGAGTGGGGGTGCACAGCACGAGGGGAGGGGTCTCACCGGCTCTGGAAGGTGTGGGGTCCTGTGGGGACGCTCTGGACCCGCCACTGCCCGCCCCGGTCCGGGAACAGCACGAGCTGGAGAGGCTTGGGCAGAGCCAGCTCCTTCTCCAGCTGGAAAAGGTGCTCCTTCCAGGGGCAGCCGCCCTGGGGCAGCTCCAGCACCTGCCCACTCGAGTCCACCTGGGAAGGGGGACACCACGGGCACTCTGGGGGACCGTCCCCAGAGCCCCCACATGGCCCTGGGGCTCGGCTTCACCCCCTGGGGCTCAGAGACCCCCACACGTGTAGGGGAGTGTGGCTGTGGTGGGGAGAAGGGTGGGCACAGTGGGGGCTGCAGGGCCATGCAGGGAGGTTCACACCGAGGCCATTTGGCCTCCCCACACCCCAAAAGCACCTCCACCACTTTCAGACCCCTCCCTTTCCCCCCAGGAGGGTGGGTGGTACCTCGAAGCGGCGCCGAACGGCCTCTTCCACCAGCGCCCGCGCCGGCAGCCAGGCCCGGTGGTAGAAGTCGAGCCGGTCCATGAACTCGCCCCCCACCAGCTCCATCGCCCGCCTGAACCCCGCCTGGGGGCACAACGGGGAGTCAGGGGGGTCCCCCGAGCTGGGCGTCCCCATCCCGGGTGTCCCCGAGCCAATGTCCCCATCCTGGCTGTCCCCAGGGGGCCGCGGTGCCCGCGCCCACCTCGGTGTCCTGGTCGGGGTCGTTCCAGCGGGGGTTCAGGTGCCCCACGCGGGCGCTCAGGGTGGTGGTGAGGGCGTAGCGGGGCTCCCCCTCCGCCTGCGCGATCCCGTTGTCGATGGCGTCGATCTCCTCCACGAAGTTCTCGTAGAGCTGGGGAGGGGGGGACAGTGGGGGAAGATGGGTGGGGAAAGCAGGAGTGGGGGGATAACGGGGCCAGCACCTGTGGGGGGCACAGCAGGGCCCAACCACACACCCCAGGAGCTGCCACAAACTGGTCCCCTCTTTCTGGGGATCTCGTGTGGGGTGACCCTCTCCCCAAACAGAGCAGCTCTGGGCAGAGCTGTGGCACTAAGGGGGGTGGTCAGAGCCCTCCGTACCTTATCGTAGAGCGCCCTGACCACGGGCCCGTCCTCCGGCTGCCCCAGGAGCTCCGCCAGGATCTGGGAGCCGAAGTGACAATAAACCAGCCCGGCGCTGCTCAGCTTCGTGCTCCAGGGCTTGTCGGGCCGGAGGCTCCTCATGGACTCTGCGAAGGACCTGCAGGGTCCCCGGGGTCAGCCCCAGGGACCCCCGGGGAGCAGGTAGGGCCGGGGAGGGGGGGCGGTCTCACCTCTGGTGGTGGTCGTAGCGGTGCCGCTCGGGGTCGTACTCGCCCCCCACGTCCACCACCACGTCGCACCGGGCCAGGCGCTGGGGGTCCCGCGTCCGCACCACCTCCGCGTCCTGCCGGGGGGACACGTGGAGTGTGAGGGGTTCCCCCCCACCCCGGAGCACCGGGGACCCCCGGGAGCTGCCCCCGGGGACTGGGGGACGCCGAGGAGGGGCTGGGAGCTTCGGGGTGATCGCGGTGGGACCGGGGATCTCGAGAGCTTCAGGGCGATCAGGGTGGGACCGGGGACCCCGAGAGCTTCAGGGTGACCCCCCAGGTGACAAAGGACCCCTGGGTAGGTCCCAAGGACCCCCACGCGGGTCCGGGAGACCCGGTGGTGGCCGCCGGTGGGAGCGGGAGCCCCGAGTGAGGTAACAAGGGAACCCCAGGGAGGGGAGGGTGCCGGTGCCGCCGCACGGAGCGCCGGGGCCGTACCCGGTAGCGGGGCAGGAGCCGCAGCAGGAAACACGCGAGCACCTCGTCGCAGTGGAAGGTGCCGTCGTGGGTGCCGATGAGCGGGGCGGGCTCGGGCCGCGGCCGCTTCTGCCCGGCCGCGGTGGAGACGGAGCCCCCCGTCCCGGTGGCGGCCATGGAGGAGCCTCCGGAGCCCCCGATCCCGGTCCCCGTCCCCATCCCGGTCCCCGTCCCCATCCCGGTCCCCGCCGTGCTCGCCATGAGGCGGAGGGCGCGGAAGGGGCCTCGCATGGCCACGCCCCCGACCACGCCCACTCACACATCAGACCACGCCCCATCTCGGCCTTTCCCGCGCCTCTGTGGCCACGCCCCCATTTCCAGCCCCATCGCCCCGTGCGCAGCGGGTCACGGGCACACCACCCACACCTGACGTCACGATGGGCGGGGCCAACGCGGGGGTTCGTGGAGGGAGCGCCCCCTGGCGGCCGAATGGGGGATATAACCGAGGGGACACGGGGACGGGGATACAGGGACACAGGGACACAGGGACGGGGACACGGGGACACGGACACGCGGACAGGGCAGGGACACAGGGACAGGGAGACTGGGACAGGGACACGGGGACACAGGGACGGGGATACAGGGACAGGGACACAGGGACAGGGACACAGGGACACGGACACGCGGACAGGGCAGGGACACAGGGACAGGGACACAGGGACACAGGGACGGGGGGACAGAGGGACATGGACACGGGGACAGGGCAGGGACAGGGACACTGGGACAGGGACACAGGGACACGGGGACGGGGATACAGGGACAGGGACAGGGACACACGGGGACGGGGATACAGGGACAGGGACACGGACACAGGGACAGGGACACAGGGACACGGACATGGGGACAGGGCAGGGACACAGGGACAGGGACATTGGGACAGGGACAGGGACACAGGGATGGGGACACGGGGACAGGGCAGGGACGGGGACACGGGGACAGGGACAGGGACAGAGGGACGGGGACACGGGGATGGGGACACGGGGACAGGGACACTGGGACAGGGACACAGGGACGGGGACACTGGGACAGGGCAGGGACGGGGACACGGGGACAGGGACACTGGGACAGGGACACAGGGACGGGGACAGGGACACAGGGACACTGGGACAGGGACACAGGGACAGGGACACTGGGACAGGGACACTGGGACGGGGACAGGGTAGGGACAGTGTAAGAAATAAATGAAAAGCTTTTATTACAAGCAGATATTTCTCACAGACAGGAACACAGGGACGCGGGGAGAGGGACATAGGGACACAGGGACAGGAACAGAGGGATGGGGACACAGGGACAGGGGCACACGGGGACGGATGGACACACAGGACACACTGGGATGGACAGGCAGATGGACAGACAGCCACGCAGCCCCCACGCCAGCCCGGGGCTGTGTTGATTTTCCCAAGCAGGAGTTTATTGGAGCAGCAGCCTCTTTGGACACTGTGCACGGCCCGGGGGGGTGGGGGGGGCTGTGACGCCTCTTCCCGGAGTTCCCAAATCCCAAATCCCCCTTCCCGGGGTTCGCTCCACCGGTCCCGTGTCGGGACAGTGGCACGGAGCTGCCTCCAGGGCTGCTTCCAGCAGGACACGGAACACGGCAGGGGGAGGAAGCCGAGCTGGGACCGAGGTCACCTCCACATCCTGGGGGTCGTTCCCCCATCCAGAGGGGTTATTCCCTCATCCCTGGAGGTCGTTCCCATCCCTGGGGTCGTTCTCCCATCCCAGGGGTCGTTCCCCCATCCTGGGGGTCGTTCCCCATCCCAGGGGTTGTTCCCCCATCCTGGGGGATGTGTCTGAGCTGGTCACCCGTGGGGACACGGCCCCTCCTGTTTGGGACTCGAGGTGTTCAATCCCATCGGCCTCTCCCTTTGGAAGTGGGCAGGGGGCGAGTGCTGAGGGATTTAGGGTGGGAGCAGACGATGGTCAGCGGTGCCCCGAGTCCAAAACCACCCCAAAGTGCTTCTCCTTCCCAACAGCCCCACTGTCCAGGTGGAAAAAAAAAAAAAAAGAAGAGATTTGAGGCAGCCCAGCCTCAAAACATCCATCAAGGGATAAATCAGCTCCCACAGACAGCAGAGAGAGCTGCTCCTGGTGGGAAAACCCCACGGATCCGGGTCCATCCCTGCCAACCCGCCAAAACAAAGCGGGGCTTCCACCAAACCAAACCCGGGGTGCAAAACTCCTGCCCGGGGAGCTCGGGAAAAAGAGCCGGGCTGGGAAAAGAACCAGCTCAGGAAAAGAACCTTTCCCCCCCTCCCCGACCCCACCCTCCATGGGTGTCTCAGCCCCCTCGGGGACAGCCGAGTCAGGAGATCTCGTTGCCGAAGACCTCGAGCACGAGCGGCGTGAGCTGCATGCTGTGCTCGGGCTGGAAGGACAGGCAGCGGTACTGCCGCGAGTGCTCCTCGTTGAGGCTCCGCAGGTCCGCCAGCTTCTGGATCATCTTGGCGTAGAGCAGGCGGCTCCCCGGCGGCGGGTGCCGGCAGCGGATGTAGGTCTGCAGGATCTCCGAGAGCCTGTCCTGCAGGGACTCCACCAGCGACGTGTCCTGCACGCCCGGCCGGTCTGGGGAACGTCGGATGCTGAGTTGGGAAGGGAACCCCCCCGAGCATCGTCCAGCCCAGCCCTTAAGCGTCCCCCCAGGGATCATCCAAACCCTCCCGGAGCTCTGGCAGCCTCGGGGCTGTGCCCACCGCCCTGGGGAGCCTGGGCAGTGCCCAACCACCCTCTGGGGGAAGAGCCTTTCCTTAAAATCCAACCTGAGCCTGCCCTGGCACAGCTCCAGCCATTCCCTGGTCCCCCCAGAGCAGAGCTCAGGGCCTGCCCCTCCTGAGGATGTTGAAGACCCCACTGAGGTCTCCCCTGAGCCTCCTCTTCTCCAGCTGGACACACCAAGTGCCCTCAGCCCCTCAAGGTCCTTCCTTCTCTTCATTTACCCCGTTTGGATGCTCCAACAGCTCAAAATCTTCCCAAAACCACCCCCAATATCCAAGGTGACTCCAAACCTATTTTTTGGGGACACACCAAACCCTGACTGGGCCCTACCTGGGGACAGGATGCAGATGGCCATGAGGAGCACGTGCTCTTCCTCGTGAAGGTTCAGCTTCTTCAAGCCAACCTGGAATTTCACGAGCGGCTCGAGCAGGTCCATGCTGTGGCCAGCTGGGAAGAGAACGGACCTTTAGGACGGCTGGCTCTGGAAAAGGGGATCTCCCCCAGAGCTCAGCAGCTCCTCAGACACAGCAGGCACAGGGGGAAAAGGCACTTTTGGTACAGCTCAAGGGATTTCTGTGCCTGAACTTGAAGGTGGGGCGAGATTCCTTGGCAGGAGAGAGGGTCTGGGAGCTTTACCTTGGGTGACATCGCTGACCCTGTACTTGAAGTCGTTGCTGCCGCAGGTCCAGCTCATGTCCTCGAGGGTGAAGGACTGGTTGGAGCGCAGCATGATCACCTCGATGGCACTGGACTTCAGCAGGACAATCTGGTCCTCTGCTGACAGGTCCCTGCACCACAGAGTGGGGGGAGGTTGAGGTGAGAGGAACAGAAACCCATCGGTCACCCCATCCCTGGGGCATCCCAGCTCTTCCCTCCCCACGGTTCCCGTGTCAGGTGTTCCTGCAGGTGTATTTGTCCACGCCCTGGGCACCAGTTTGGAGTGGAGAACAGGACCTGAGGGCCCTTCACGAACCCCTCACGGCGCAGCAGCTCGAGCTGTTCTGCTGACAGAGCTCGGGTGAATTTTCCAGAGTTTGGAAAGAGAGGAGAGAACCACAAAAAAGAGGAGAGACAGAAAACATCAGAGTAGGACCGGGCCTGGGAAGGGGACAGAGCTGAGGGACAGCTGTGAAGGCTCAGCAGAGAACACGATCCGGCTGTGGAGGGTAGGACGGGATTCCCGAGGGCGGAAAACCGCCTTGGACGGCAGATCTGGGAGCAAAGGTCTCACCTGAACCCCGGGATCATTTTGGCAAAGCCGATCACCTTCTGTATGCTGTAGCTGACCAGGTCAGCCAGGTGTGGGAGCATGGAGAGCTGGGAGAACTCGATGTTCATGGAGGAGCTGTCGTCGTTCTCCTCGTTGAGGACCAGGTTCGAAAACATCCGGGGCTCCACGGGCTCTGCAGAGAGGGAGACACTCACAGGGTGATGGTGCAACACCCCCAGGAGGCTTTTACAGCTAAACAAACCCTCACAGGAGGTAAAACGAGGGTCTGAAGGGTCAGGTTTAGGTCAAACTACTGCGTTTCTCCCCTTGTCACCCCCGGAGAAGTGAGTTTGGTACCTGGGAATGTGCTGAAGGCATCGGAGCCGAAGAGGTCAGTGGAATCCTCCTCTGACAGGTCCTGGGTGAGGACAGAGGAGGACTTTGTTGCCCCCCTGTTGATGGGGTGGCTCCTCACGGGGGGCTGGAAGAGAAGGGCAGGGCGTGAGGAACAGGGCTGGGAAAGGGGGGTGAGTGGTGTTTGTTCACCTGCTGCCCAGAGCAGCGAGGGGGGGCACTTTGAGCTCCTCTCTGAGGAGGAGCTGTGAGGTCAGAGGGGTTTGGAGCACCTGGGGGCTGCCCAGGAGGGCGGGGGCGGCCCAGCCGTACCCGGAACTTGGAGAAGTCGGCGTAGGTGGGGTCGTAGGTTTTGCGATGGGCCTCGAGGAGGACGTCGATGACCTTCTGCTGCTCCTCCGACAGCTTGGGCTTCAGGCTCTCCTTGAGGGCTTCCTCCTCCTTGCGCTTCAGGATCATCTCCCGCTTCCTCTGCACCTCCTCGTCCGTCAGGATGACTGTGGGGGCAGGGGAGGGCAGAAATGGGGGACTGGAGCAAGGCCAGGCAGCAGCAGAGAGTGTCCCCATCACCTGGATAATCGGTTATTGAACCTTCATCAACCCCACCCTGCTCTCACCTCGGCTGCCAGGTCACGGCTTCCCGCCGTGCCCGCCAGTTTATGGTGCTTTTAGGCAAGGTCTGGGTGAGATAAGGCCACATGAGCACTGCCACATGCCTTGCTGTTTGCTCTGTGCTTTCCAGGGGACAAGAAATCCTGATCCCGCCCGGCTCGGGTCAGTGGGTTCACCCGGCTCCGGTGCCCGGCACAGCTCTGCTCAGCCTCCCCCCCCTCCCTCCAGCTGCCAGCCTGGGGATCCAGCAGCACTTCTGCAGCATCCCCAGGGGAG